AATCAACTAAGGCTACCATAGTAGAATTGAGCAAAATCAAATTTTAGTTGCTAACCACGGCAAATATAAGTATACTTAAGTAAAATGTGTAAACTCTTAGTGTCTCCCCACTTTATGGTAATATTAAAATGTCCATGGATTGATAGTGATTTCTACAAAAGGCACTAACTAAATAAAAATAATTAAAAGTAAATAAATAAATTTATCAAATATAGGATAAAATCTGAGGGAGGGCATTCACACATATGTATGGTTATTCTAGTAAAGACTTGCTGACAAACAATCATAATATAGAAAGCTTAAAATAAGAATAAAAAAAGGTCTTAATGCAGAAATGGTATCGGAAAGAAAGCCTACAACATTAGGGTCAACGAAGTTGAACTTTATTCAAAAATAATTAAGAACAGCTCTTGAATGAGCCGACTGAACAGCCTAGTCTAATTCCATTATAAGTTTAGATTCTAAAGAAGTTGACATAAAATTCATATCATGTTTATTCACTTACGTGGTATCTGCCTGTCACTATCTGGGTGAAAAGGGTCTCCCGAGTCCCATAGAACGGTAATGAGCCACTGAGCAGGACAAAAAGGAAGACTCCACATCCCCAGGCATCAACAGGCTTCCCGTAAGCTTCACGCCGGACAACTTCGGGGGCCATAAAGTGAGGAGTGCCGATTCGGCCTGCCAAAAGAAGGCATATTAGAAAAGGTAAAACCGAAATAAAAAAGCTCTATAAAAAGATAATAAAGATATGGACACTTACATAATTTTCCTCATCGTCAATATTGAACTCTTACGCAGCTGATTTGAGTGGTGTACCAGAGCTATGCTCTGTTTCGGAAACATTGGCAATATGCTAAGTCGAAAATTGTTTGTCATAGTCACCACAATAAGTGAAAGCTTGGATGCCACTACAAAAGGTTCGAACGTAATAGTTGGATGAAAAATGCAAGTACTCTAAGAGAGCATCTCCATGAGGTTTTCTAATCAGCCAAATAAAACCTATGAAAATAAGCTAGCATAACCATACGCCTGAATCCGGTCTAAATTGTATGAAATGAGTGAATAGATTTAATCTTTATGCTTACATTTTGGTTTACCAAGGATATTGATAGATAAGACTATTATTGAATTTAATTATTGATGCTCATCCCATGTTTAGCGAAGGCGACTGAAGGTGACTACTTCCG